GCAGCCACCATCTGCAGTGATTTTGGAGCCCAAGAAAATAAAGTCTGTCACTGTTTCCATTGTTTCCCCATCTATTTGCCATGAAACGATGGGACCAGATGCCATGATCTTAGTTTTCTGAATGTTGAACTTTAAGCCAACTTTTTCACTCTCCTCTTCCACTTTCATCAAGAGGCTCTGGGTGACGTTATCTATATTACTTGAACTGTTGGACTTCAGGGTCTTTGTTAGTAAACTTGGGTTGATAAAATGTATGTACATTTTCCCTCTCACATCTCAAAAACAATGTGGAGGAATGAATAGTAATAATAATATCCAGCATATTCAGAATGCTAATTTTATATCAGTTTCATGCACTGTGCTCAGTTATGTCCAACTCCTTATGGTCCCATGGACTATATAGCCCATCAGCTCCTCTGTCTGTGGAATTTTCCAGGCAAGAATACTCGACTGGGCTGCCATTTCCTCCTCAAGGGGATCTTCCCCACCCAGGGGTTCAACCCATCTCTTGCATCTCCTGTACTGGCAAGCAGGTTCTTTACCACTAGCATTCATGTATTAGTTCTGGGCAGAATCTGTATGCCTGATTTTTATTGAACGTAATACCAGCCTCTTTGAAAAAGGTACCATGTGCAGTTGAGTGTTCAAAATTATCTTCCTTGATAAAGTTTGAGGAAATTTCTCCATTTGAAAAGTCCCACAGCAACCTTGGGGTATAAGACCAGTACATCTAATACTGCTTGTGAAAGTGCAATAGAATGGGCACATGTCTACAGGATATGCGTTGCTTGAGTGATTGAAACCAAAATTAAACATCTCACATTGTCTACCATGCTTTTGACTAAACTTAATAAGAAGTGAACGACTGACAAGTGTAAGGCACATGCCCTCCTATATGACACTCTCATCCCCCCTGATGAAGCCATTCCTAGACATGAAAGGAATTCTAATCAAAGACATGCCAATTCTGATTTGAAGCAAACATCACAGTGGTTTATAGAAAACTTCCTTTCTGCGCTGACCCACAACCTAAACAAAAGGTCAAAATCACTTAAGTTGCTTCAAAATGGATGGTGGTGATACAAGCCAGCAAAGTGGGTGGATGGAAGCCCATGCAATTCCTTTGTAAGTCACAGAACTAAGTAAACACTGGGAAAATCTGCTACTGTTTACTCTGATACTTTAGTCAACACTTTGGAATCATTAGCTGTGGGCCCTTGGGTAAAGTTGCTTTTTAAACCCGCTATTTCACAGTCAAGGTCGACTTCTCCTATAGCCAGCAGATCCATAACCCCGAAGGTCATATCCTCTGGAGCCTCACACACATGTTCAGCTCTCACAGGCATCAACAGGGGGGCTTCTGAGACCCTGAGGCTGGACGGGGGTTACCTCCCTACTTTTCCACTAAAAATGAAATGGGAAGGAGTCCAAATGCAGATTTACCTAATATAGGAGACCAAAAGCAATAAAGAGCACATTCAAACTGAACTACAGATGATTCCAAAATTTCTTGACACCAGAAATTTTGTTAATGTCAAGCAGTATGACTAATTGGAAACATGTTAAAATATCTCCTCATCAAGGCTTCAAAACACCCATTAATGAAGAATGTAGTGGCCACATATTATCAGTGGAACTTAGTAATCCAACTACTGTAGAATATAGCCTCTTGGCTTCCATATTTGCACAAAGATATTATATATACATATGTGTGTGTGTGTGTGTGTGTGTGTGTGTATAGAGTTTCCCCAGTGGCTCAGTGGTAAAGAATCCACCTTCAATTCAGAAGCCACAGGTTTGACACCTGAGTCAGGAAGATCCCCTGGAGGAGGGCATGGCAACCCACTCCAGCATTCTTGCCTGGAGAATTCCATGGACAGAGGAGCCTGGCAGGCTACAGCCCATGGGGTCTCAAAGAGTCGGAGACAACTGAAGCAACTTGGTATATGCACATGCGCGTGCACACACACACATGCACACACACACACACACACACACACATCCCGTTCTGGAAGGCAGGGGTCTTCAACCTCAGCCATCCAGCCACTGGCATTAATTAATGGAGTCGCTTTCAGGAATCAGTGAAGCTTCCTGACGTGTATTTTCATTTCTTTTATTAAAAATCACCCCCAAAGCACTCAGTGCTCTAAAATTCTGTGACATCTAAGTGCTAAATGAGAGACTATAACAGTGCAAGTCAGTAAGGATTGCTAGAGAGAACTATAAACTTAAAACCTCAGGGCAGTATGAGTACCTTCAATTATGAAGGACAAGCCATTAATCATTAACACTGAACCACTGGCAAAGGAGCTAAATTAAGTAAGTACTAAGGTGACCTTCTGGCCTGTGCCCAAGATGCAGCCCTAAGCAGTTAGACTGGTACAACTCCCACCCTAAGAATTAGCAGGATGTATGACCAAGGCCAGGCAAACTTAAGCTGTCTGGGATTACAGAAGGGAGGAAACATGTACACACCACGTGTCTAGAAAATTCTCCAAGGTCAGGACTTGCACCCCAGGGCCAGCGACAGAACAAAGAATACCTGGGTCAAGGTATCCCTTCATTTTCAACAGGCTGGGTTCATTTGCAAGTCATACAGGAGCTATATTCTGCACAAAAAATAAGTGTCTTAGCCAGCTCACAGAAATCTCAACAAAGAACCCCATCCTTCCAAACAATTAAAGAATTATTTTAATGAGACCAAAAGTTATATGCAAAAGTGCTTTCAAGCACTCAAAAGAAAAGAATGCACCCCACCCCCACCTCAGCACACACATATGAGGTAGGCAGCTGATTTCACCCCCAGGCATTTGTTCAAAATCAGCACTGGTAGTTTAGTTATGCAGGTTAAAAAGACTACACTCTAGACCCTAGTGGCAATGATGGTTTCTACACAGAGAAAAATTCTGTGGATTGGTCATCTCCCCAACCATCTCCCCAAACATGGCAATCATCAATAGATGGCTCAATCTCAAAATAGTCTGTTGAGTAAAGGACACAAAATAATTATACAGTATGATTCCAACTGTAGGAAGTTCTAAAGCAGGCAAAACAAATCTACAGTGATAGATATCAAAACAGCTGGTTTTTGGCAAGGGGAGGAGGACTGTCTCATAGGAGCCCAAAAGAATTTTCTGAAGAAATAGAAATGTTCTGTGAGTTACATGTGGGTATGAATGTGTCCAAAATGACTGAACTCACATCAAATATCTGTGCATTTCACTGATGAGTGATTTATACATCAACTAAAATACATGTGAAAAAGAACGGATGGTCTGTCCTGGGGAGGCAGATGGTAACATGGGAGATGAAAATGACAATATTCAAGGACTTGCCAATGACAAGGGAGACACTGTCTCTCTGACAAGGTCAAAGAATGTAAGGAGGAAAAGAGAGAGTCGCGGAACACATTTTATAGTATGCATGGGACCTCTTATTTAAAAGCCCTGGTAACTGAAAAAGTAGTTTTTTAATCAATTGAATGGGTGATACTCAGTCTAAAGTGACTGTTGGGATGGGGGTGGATCAGGAGGCAAATGTGCTATCACCGACAATGAACACCAAGGTTACAAACTCCAACATCCCCATTTTGGTGTGGACCGCTTCATAGATGGTATCCCGAGAGCTTCAGGTTTTAAGACTATCCATTTCCTTGAGGTCATGGAGCCCCATTAATCTTCTCTGAAAGGCACAAACTGCATAGGGCTTGAGAGTCGATGAAAATATCTACCCCTCTGCCCTGGCCCAACACCCAAAATGCTGACATCACAAATTCCTTAGGACTAGAGCACAGATGGGACTCTTAAGGACCGAATACCGACATTTTACCCACAGCCCACCTCTAACCCGTGATATCTGAAAACATGGTCTCCCTTTTTCAGATAAGTTCTCCCTCAAGAAATGTCCTTCCTATCCTCCCCTGAACTTTCCACCTTAATTTCCTAAATCCTTAAAGGACACTTCATCTGATAAATCCATCCCTCCTCCTAACAGCTGAGTCTAGACTATAAGATGAGCCAATCTCCTGGAGCCCAAGAAGGGAGGAGGGTCCCTTCAACACCCGGGGATCAGACAAGGGAAACCACCAGGCTAATGAAGAGATTCAAAACACCTTTGCTGCTAAACTTTTAGATACTCTTCTGCGGTCCTTATCTGTTGACCATGGAAACATCGAGGTGACGACCTGTTTGAACTGTTGAGAGTCACTGAGCACCCAGTCAAACCACCCCTTTCTTTACTCCCGCAGGTAACCCTGTCTCCATGCAAACATAGCAACAAACCAGGCTGATCACTGATGCAAACAAACTGCACTTCAGCCCAATAGAAGATCTGGAAACTTTTCAAAACTAAGAAATCAGAAGCACTGAGAGGCAGAGTTATATATTTACCCCTTTCCTGAAAAAAGAACAACAACAACAAAAATCAAACCTGAGAATAAACCCACCTGTGAGTTCCTCTACTGAGGTCACCCCAGACCCCTCCTCTTTATTTGCAAACAGTTCAGAAGCCACTGAAGGAAGTTGGCCAATAAACGTTTTTCAACCCAAGATTAATGGCTGATTTGTCATCTGGGAGAGAAAGGTGAGCCTGCAGCCTCAGCCAAGGAAGCAAACCAGGGGCGGTGGGGCTGCTGATTTATGGGGTTGAGAGGAGGCTAATTAGAGCCTCATGGCGTAAGATAAGAGAGCCAAGGCATTTGGGGACAGCGCAGGGCGGGGGCCAGAGTGCCCTGAGCAAACAGCCAGCTGGGGCGGGGAGGGGAGGGGGCTCAGAAATCGGCTCCAGAGCAAAGTAGGGAGACTGGATGTGGATTCCAAGAACAAGCATGTGTGGAAAACTTCTGGAAGCCACGAAGAAGCCCATGTTCTAGCACCTCAGAGAAAGCCTGACAACAAATCCTTGTGGCTCCCACGGTTGTGATGGCCCACCAGAGGCCTGCATCCCAGGGTCACCAGGGGGCTTTCCTTTCCTTTCCCAGTGCCCCCGACGCGGCCTGCCCAATGATCCCTCGGTGGGTCGGCTCAGCAGAAATGATCATCCAAAGCAATTTCTTGGATCTTCCCCTGGAAGCTTTGCCCTCCCCGCAGCTGCTGCATCTGTCATGCATCCCGACGCAGGAGGAGCTCAGAGGGGCTGAGCAGGCCCCCGAAGTACCAGCCCGCGGAAGCCCGGCGGCCCTGGCCCACCACGCCGAGCGGCTCGGCGGGAGCCTGCGCTGCACCAGGGGAGGGGCTGAAGGTCAGGACCCCTGTGACGCGACAAGGAGAGCACCGCCTGGCTCTCCTGCCCCAGGACCGGCTACTCGGTCCAGGACAGCCTGGCGCCATCCACAGTGGGCGCGAGTGCACGGGTTTGCGAGCGCCCAGGCCCGCGCATCGCCGGCAGATAGTCACCCTGGAGACCCACTCCCTTCGCTGCCCTGCTGTGTTTAGGTGTAGAAAAGAGGCCCGAGGTCCCTCAAGCATCGCCTTAAAACACAGTGGCCTTTGCCCCTCTCTTCTTTCAAAAATGAGAGCATAGAGACAGGGAGACAGAAGCAGGGAGCGAGGGAGAGGAAGAGAGTAAAAGGAAAAAGAGAGGAGAGAAAAGGAGAGACAGAAATCAAGCGAGCAAAGCGAGCAGCGGCTGGGGCAAGACCTCAGGGTCTTCTCTCTGCTTTTCCTGTCTTGATAAATCGCCGTAGCGGCCTGTGACTGTTGCCCCTAAATGCTCAGGCGAACAGCTTTTCCTGGAGACTGTTCAAGTGGCTGCCAGGCCGGCTGGAGCTGGGCAAGCCGCGCGGCCTTCGCACTGCCCCCGCTGCAACCCAGCTAGAGAAGAGAGCCTGGAGTCAGTGTTCACGGCGCAGTGTGGGCATTGCCCCAGCACGATGAAATGGCAATGGGCCCGCTCTCGGGGCCGAGCTGGGATAATGGGCTCTTAAGGAGACGCTGGGCACGGGGGCTGCCAGGATGCGGGGCCTGCCCCCAGGCTCCTCCACCTGGGGGCCTGCCTGGGCACTAAGGGAGCTCACCTGGCCCTCTCCCCTGGCTACTCCTCTCCATTCTGCCATTTGGGGCCCTCAGAACACCTAAAATATGAGCACAAAAGCCACTTCACAGGCACAGCCCGTACACTGGCTTTCAGGTGAGTCAGGGCGAAGCCAGCAGATGGAGAGATCCCACGGCTAGACCCGGAGCCCAAGCTCAGAGGGTGTTACCTGATACCTCCCGACACCTGAGCAGTGCCTGCGCTAAGTCAGTTCCGCCCTGTCCAACTCGGCGATCCCAGGCTCCTCTGTCCACGGCCGGGCAAGAATACTGCAGTGGACTGCCATTTCCTCCTCCAGGAGATCTTCCCAACCCGGGGATCAAACCCAAGTCTGCTGTGGCTCCTGCATGGCAGGCAGATTCTTTACCGCTGAGCTACCACGGAAGTCCAGTCCCCCAAATAGACACTGAATATGTATCTATGTCAGTAGTTTCAAATAAACAAGGCAATTTATTTTACAAGATTTCACTTAATACACCTTTCTTAACAGACAGATTTTTTTTCATCTCCTCAATAAAGCTTAAATCAAAGAAGGGTCCAAGTAAGATGAAGTCACAAGCCCAGTAGCCATGTGAGAGCTTCACAGCCATGGCCTTGGACTCTTTCGAGAGTGATTGATATCCCTGAATTTAAAGAGAATTTTTTCTTCAAAATTTCCATTTTATTTTATCTTGTGTTTTCTATCCATCTGTTTCTACCTGTCTGCAAATAGGCAGCTATCAAGAAAGTTTCCTGTCATTCCAGGGTGAATCTGTTATCATCAATAGCATCATTACCATTTATATTTGTACCTCTAGCGATTGTAAAATTAAATTAGGTGACCTACAAAAAGGCTTTCCTGGTGGCTCAAATGGTAAACAGTCTGCCTACAATGCAGGAGACCCAGATTCAGTCCCTGGGTGGGGAAGATCCCCTGGAGAAGGAAATGACAACCCACTCCAGTACTCTTGCCTGGAAAAGTCCATGGACAGAGGAGCCTGGCAGGCTACAGTCCACGGGATCACAAAGAGTCAGATAAGATTGAGCGACTAACATTCCAACTCACAAAAATGCAAGCCAAAAAACAAACTGACTTATGATTTAAAATAAAGGGTGAAGGGAAAATCAAGGGGAGAGATAAAATGAAGCCTGAGGTTCTGTATCCTTGCAGAGCTGAACTAGGACCTGGTTCTGCAGCTCAAACAGGGAAAAACATAACCCTTTAGGTCAGTGAATCTGAACCCAAGCCCAGCCTGATGTATGTGGCCTGGGGGTGGAGGGCCCAAGCTTCCATATTCTTTGAAAGCTCCCCTTTGAGATTACGGCAGACCAGTTGCTCAGGAGACGAGCATCTCTGAAGTTCCTATGAAGGACAGGATGTCATGCTGTTTGCGGAGGAATAAAACCCTTTCAGTAACTCCTTTACAGTGAGAGCAGTAAAGCGTGTTACATTAAGATGTAAATACAGCACAGAGAAACACACAGTAGCACATAGGAGGTTGAGGCGGAGGGAAGGGCAGGCCGAGGAAAAGAAACAGTGTGCGGGGAGAGACAGTCATGAGATGTTCAGTGGCCTGGCTGGCAGGACACAAGCATGGGTGGCTGGGACTTAGCAAACTGATGAGAAGGGGCTGGGAAGGATCCCACGGGCCCTGCTCAAGGCCTGAGGCTAAGAATACAGGGTGAGTGATTGCCTTCCATGTATTGTATCTCCATCTTCCATCTGTAAGAGTGAAAGTTAGTTGCTCAGTCATATCTGACTCTTTGTGAATCTGGGTTTGAATCCCAGCTCTGCTCCTAACTAGCATGTGAGAACTTGCACACACTGCTTACCTTTTTTGGTCCTCAGTTTCCCATCTGTAAAATGAGGACAGAAAAGTACCTACCTTGTAAGAATAAGTGAGCTACTCTATGTAAGGTGGTGAACATAGCATCTAATCCATTATTACTATCATTGCTGGTACTGTCCCCTCTGTAATGAGAGAGAACAAGGGAATAAAATTATTTTCAGGGAATACCTTCTAGATGTATTAGTCTTTTTATATAATATTTAATTATGTGACAACTCAGTTGAATAGGCATTATTATTGTTAACTCCAGTAAGCCCATTGAATCTCAGCATGGTTGAGTACTATGCCCAAGTTCATACAGCAAGAAGAAGGTCAAATTGAGATCCAAACCCGGAAATTATAAAATATTCTAATGACAAACTAGGGCCGTTTATAGTACAGGGAATAAAGCCTAAGTTTCAGGGACACCTCTCTCACTTTCCCAGACCCCTGTAACACTCTGAATCTACTTTTCCATTTGGGCAAGAGATTCAGATCAACAGTAATGGATGGATAGTGTTGGAGACATTTCCCATGAAGAACATTCTAGAGCATATGCTCTAAATGTCAAACAAGCACACAAACCCAGTATGCCTGCAATGCAGTAGCCACCAACCTCCTACGGCTGAGTTAAATCAAATGTGAAATTCAGTTCCTCCAGCCCACTAGCTATGTGTCAAGTGCTCAGTGGTACGAGGCATCACAGATGGAGAACGCTGCCATCACTGCGGAAAGTTCTACTGGACACTGCTGGTCCAGAAACCTAGAGGATGGTTGAGGACAGACTCACAGGGAAACATCCGAGGGACACATGAAGAGGACAGTGAGTGAAGACAAAGGAGAATGACCAGCAGAGTCGGGAGGAGAACCAGGACGCAGGGAACCCAGCAAAGAGAATTTCAAAGAGTTTACTCAACAGCAGCGTCAGCAAGAGAGACAGCCAGAGGCTCCCGGCACAGGATGAACACAGGTCCACACGGCCACCTGCAAACCCTGCCTTAGCCTGTCCAGCTCCTGTAACAAAACAGCAGAGACAAGGCGGCTTATGAAAATGGAAATTGACTGCTCACAGTTCCGGAAGCTGCGAGTCTGAAACCTGGGAGCCAGCACGGTCAGGTGGGGACCCTCCTTCGGGTCACCAGCTCCTCCTGCATCCTCACTCGTGGAAGGGGCCCGGGAGCTCTCTGGAGCCTCCTTTGTAAGAGCACTGATTCCATTCAGCAGGGCTCCACCCTCAGGACCCAAGTACCTCCCCAAGGCCCCACCTTCAAACACCGTCACACTGGGCTTGAGAATCCCAGCACATGAGTGGCACAGGTTGGGGGGATGGGGGACACACTTTCAGACCAAACCCCTGCATGAGTGCTCCCGTGAAGACCGTGAAAAGGCATTGTTTTCCTACAGCCACAAACATGCCCTGAACTTGGCCCTGCCCAGAAAGAAAACCTTGAGAAGGACGGAGGACAGCTGTAGCTGGAGAAGCAGATGCCCCAAGGCCTGCTTTCCCTCCCTCCCCTCCACAGAACCCTTTAAAACCCTTTGCAAATGGACAAGGCACACGCCTGCCCATGCCAACACACAGCTCTCCAGCGGGAGACTGCCTGCATACCTACGCAACTTCCTGTTTGTTTGTGCAATTACCTGCAGTTCACGTAAGAATGCATGTTCTGAGTGTAGCCTTTTCTGCCCTGCGCATGTATGTGCATATTTTGAGGGTGCAAATGCGGCGCCAAGCATAGCTTTTTAATGTAGCCTAAAGGGGTACATTATTCTGACCAGCACTAACAGAGCAGGCCCACATTAAGGCAGCAACTTTAGGCCCCAGCAGAGGCAACAATGTCAAACAAGCACACAAACCCAGTCTCCCCACGTGGCTCAAGCTCTTCTTATGCCCTTCACTCCTGCCTCCTCCTGTTAAAGTTCCACTGCCTCCAAAACGCCTGCTTTATCCAAAGTCTCTCTAAACTCCTCCCCAGACTTCTGCCGCATCTCCTAGGGATTTACACAGGGACCTGGGTCTGTCTCCCCTTCCTAATTATGACCTTGTCTTTCTGAACTTTGTCCACTGCACCAGGTCACTAGTCAACATTTTGAAATGTGTCCAGGCACCCCTTCTCCTGGAGCGTGCTCCTCAGTGACAGAGTCTGTAGCTGCAGCAGAGTCTGGCCAGGTCTTCAACCAATGTCTTCCCTTTTCCTCCTAACATAGCTGGACCACGTTTCCCAGCCTCCCTTATAGTTATATTTGGCCACATGATCCAGTTCTGGGTTTCCCAAAGGGGGAAAAGTGATTCGTATGACGCTTCAAGGTTGAGATGTTGAGATGTTCCTTCTACAGATTTGCTCATCTACTGGCTGGAAACAGAAGACATGGTGGAAGGTTGCATGACCTTGAATGACACCGCAGCTAGACAGAAAGAACCTAGGTTCCTGACTGACTCTGTGGATCAGAGTCCTCCCACCCCCACTTCCCTGCCCACCCTTACTTGATTGTAGTAAAGGCAAGGAATAAACCTTTATTGTGTCAAAATCCTGAGATTTGGGGGTTATTTGCTATGGCAATCATCCTGCCCTGATGTTGTAAATGGATTGCAAATTTTCTCCCAATTATTTCCCTTCCATGCAATGTAATTTAGTAGTTTCTTCCATCAAGTGTTGGAGTCTATTTTCCATCCCTTAATCTAAGATTGGCCACAGAACTTGGTTTGGCAAATGAAACACTGCAGAAGTGACTGTGTGCCTCTCCAAGCCTAGCAGTCAAGAGGCAATTGCATGCCTTCACATGGTTATATAAAATGGTTTGTAATTAATCTGTTGAACTCTGCCAGTGAAAGGATGCCTCTCAGATCTTTCAAGCTGCTTTTAAAACTTCGTTCTCTTTAAAAATTTCACCACTTCTCCCAACAAAATGTATTTAGTCGAGATTTGTTTTGTAAATTATTCCTTTCGTGGTCTTTGAAAAAGAAAAAGCCAACTTTAACCTCCATTCTTTACAAATGTCTCAGATTCCCTACTGAAAGAGGCTGCGGTTGTTTCAAAACTAAAATTAACAATTACCTCTGTTGGTTCAAAGACAAGGTGGGAAT